ATTTCAACCAATAAAAAGCTGGGCATGGTGATGCATGCCTGTCATCCCACCTACATGGCAAGCATAAATAAGAGGATCTTGGTCCAGGCCTGCTTGGGGATAAATGCAAGACCCTATTCAAAAAATAACTGAAGCAAAATGGGCTGGGGGCGTGGTTCAAGTGGTACAGCTCAGCAAATGCAAAGTCCTGAGGTCAAACCCCAGTACTGCCAAAATAAATAACTGTGTGTGTGTGTGTGTGTGTGTGTGTGTGTGTGTGTGTGTGGTACTGGGATTTGTACGCTTGCTGGACAGGCGCTCTTACCACTTGAGCTACGCCCCCAGCCCTTAAATTACTTTTTGTTTTAAAAAAGACTCTTGGGGCTGGGAGCATGTCTCAAATGGTAGAGCTCCTCCCTAGCAGGCCCGAGGCACTGAGTTCAAGATCCAGTACCACAAAAAGAAAATCAACAAAGAAAAATCAGCTATGTTTTTATATACAACAAACAAACAATATGAAAGGAATTTCTAAGAAAGCACTTTCATTTAGAACAGCATCTAAAAGAATAAAATATCTAGAAATAAATTTAACCATGGAAGTGAAAAACATTTACACTGAAAACTACAAAAAAGCTGCTGAAATATGTCCAAGTGGCTATGTTTTTGTAAAATATTAAAAGCAAGGTGTTTTATTAGCCAGTATTGGCTGAGACAGCCATCTCATTCCATTAAGAAGGCCTTTCTATTTTATTTCTCCTTGCATATAGGTGGGTCTGGAGTTGCTGAAGGCATTCTGGAGATCTGACTAAGGGAAAATTGAGTTTGGGCTGCACTGACTTTAGAAGGATTTATCAGTAAGAATCAGTTACTTCCATATGGTTATTAGACATCCTGGTGTAGAAATAGTTTTCAACTACTATTCATGGCTACACTTTCATGACTGTGCCTGGAACTGGTTTGGGAAAAATTCTTCCAAACATACAATGGTACAAACTATAATTGGAAGATCTGGTGCTCATTGACATCTACTTAAGTGAGTTCTCTTCTTCTCAGAATATATTGATAATTCAGTATGTATATTTATAAACATATCACACATTTTTCCCTGTTGATGGGACTCACACAAAAAGACTGGTCATAATTCTCTATATTTTTATCTGTGGGGTACAACTATTTAAATGTGGAAATAAACTATTTGCGATAAAAATGTAAAAAATCATTTTTTAATGCTGATGAAAGAAATTAAAGAAGGCATTGTTAAGATGTCAACACCACCCCAAAAAAACTATCTACAAATGCAATGCAATCCCTATCAAAGTCTCATAGCCGTTTTGGAAGAAATGGTAAAGCCAATCCTCAAATTCATACAAAATCGTACAGGACCCCCCAAGCAGCCAAAATAATCTTTAAACAAAACTAAGTTGGAGAACTTGATAAGAACTGCCTGAGCCGCAGCTGGTCTCATCCCTTGCAGAACAAAGCCCACTGTTCCTTATCTCCCGCCACCTTCCTTTGCCCACCCCTAGACCTTGCTTTCTCCCAAATGCTACTTAAGGCCAGACCCACGAAGAGAAGCTGCTGCACCATTTTTTCTCTGCCAGCCAGCCTGCTTATTAAACTTTTGGACATGAGATACCACTTGTGAGCCTCCTTTGTGTGCAATGTGCGGTGTTTTCCTAACAGAACTCACACTCCTGATTTCTAAACTTACTACAAAGCTACAGTAATCAAGAGTAGTATTAGAGTTAAGGCAGATCCATGGGACAGAACTGAGATTCCAGGGGCTGGGGAAGTAGCTCAGTGGCACAGCACTTGCCTAGCATGCACCAGGTCCTGGAACAAATATCTAGCACACACACACACTAAAAGTTGGAAAGAGTGGTGATGACTGCACAAGATGGTAAGTGTAGTTAATGTCGCTGAGTACATGTGATTGGGTGTGATTTGGGAAGGTGACCCCCTCCACCAAAACCTAGTACCTCTGACCACGTGCTCTCCACTATAAAACTAGGAGCTGGGGACCACCATTTTGAGTCTTTGCTCCCATTTCCTGTGTGGAGAATAGAAAATGCTTCTCTTTTCCCGTTGCTCTCACTCTAGAGACAACCAGCTTTCAGCCTGTTGAAAGCATATTACTCTCCTAATTAACTTTACTGTTACTGTTACTTAAAAAAAAAAAAAGTTATATTAGGAGCCAGGTGTGGGGGCAGTTACTGCAGAGAAAGAGGCAAGCGGATGGCAAGTTTCAGGACAGAATGGGCTAAGGAAGCCAAACTGACTCAAAAACAAAATTAAAAAAACAGTGGAAGACAGAGTGCAGTGGCTCACAACTGTAATTCCAGCTACTCAAGAGGCTGAGGACTGCAGTTGGAGACCAGGAAAAAATTTACAGAGACCCCATCTCATTAAGCCTTTATACTTTATTTACCCTCAGATAGCCTCACATCCTTCAATTCTTGACTCACAAATTAGCTTCTCCGTGAGGGCTTCCCTGAACATCTATTGTAAAATTATAGCTCTCCACCCCACCCACTCATCATTCCTTTCTTTTATTGTTCTCCATAGGATTTGCACCTCCTGACATACTACACTGACTTTTTCCATGTCTGATGAGGACTAAGCAGGGAGTTAGGAAACCTGATGGTTGAGATCCATGGCTTGGTTGCTGGTAAGGAATCACATCCTAGACAGTTGACTTTAACAGACTGGCCTGTGACATACAGCAGGGTCTTGCTGACTGGCAGCCCCAGAAGCCCACAGAGAGTAACAGACCCATCTGACCACCTAAGGCCAAAACTCCCCTGCCCAACAAGTGAGAGAAGCTGATGCCACATAGCCCAGTCTCAGAGTTAGTGACATGTAACCCAGTTTTCAAGGAATGACCACCCCATTCTGCAGATCCCAATACAAGTTTGAGGTCTTGGGACCTCCAGCAAGGCAGCTCCCCTTCTTAAGTCTGCCCACCTCCCGTTGAGAGTGCACATTTGCTTTGCTTTCGCTTGCTTTACTTAAATAAACCTGCCCAAGCCTCACATCAGCACAGCAGCAGCAGCAGCACTCTGTGCTCGGCTGCCCACTGCTTCTCTGTGTCCTAATAAACTTCTCCTTCTCCTGGCTTGCTTGTCTTGGTAAATACTCTTACCAACCAGAGGCACTAAAAATCTACATTTCCACTAAAATTAGCTCTAAAAGAAGAGATCTGGGGGTGCTTATTCATTTGTTGATATTCCTAGCGCTTAGTGCAGAGCTCCAACTAACAGAGAAATCTAGGATATAGTTCAGTGGTAGAGGGCATGCCCAGCAGGCGGGAGGTCCTGGTGTTGAGTCCAGGTGATCAGGAGACAAAATGAGCCAATGTCTCAATGCCCCGTGAGAGCACCGTGGGCCCCACATCCTGTAAAGAGATGCACGGTTTCACAAGTTATGGCCTCCTGGGGTTGCCTCAAAATGCCACAAGGCTGATAAGCAGGAGGCTTTTGCAGAACTGTGCATATGTTCCTGCAGAGAGATGATAACAAACCACTCCACTCCTGACTCCTGCACCTCCCCTCCCCAACAAAAAAGACCAAATTTAAAAGAACCCTCTGTAAATGACAGGGAGCTACCGATTTTCCGGGCTCCCTGTCTCTAAGGGCAGCTTGTTATTCCTCTATAATAAATCTTACTTGTGTGCTGACCTTGCCGTCTCGTAAGTCAGTTTGCTCTCGCACTGGCCAATTCTTTGGCTAGTAAAGCAAGAACCTTCGCCACCGGCCTGCAACACTGGGTTTCATCTCCAACACCGTTAAATGAGTAGACATTACTGTTCAATGACATCAAAATATCAAAACCTGAAACTTCCCTACCCATCTCGCCCTCTAACCCCCCTGGTAAACCATACAAAGCCTAAATTACTCTGATTTTCGGACTCCCAAATTAGTATCCTAAGGATTCTATTACCTATCCATAGAACTACTCAGATTCAAAAAAAAAAGGCATTGATAGAATGTCCTGGACTCGAGAAACCCAACAGAGACACCAGGTTATTCTTTGCTGTGCAATTTCCACAACAGGCCACAAGAGTAGTGCATAGACCTGCGGTCGCCATAGCCGAAGACGAAAAGAAGGGGGTGGGGGGGGAAGACTTTCTGACTGAAAGAGCTCAGAAAAGGCCCGGAGCCCCTTTCCGGTGGTCTGGCGGAGGAAGGAGACCCGTTTCTAAGGAATCTCCCAGATACAGCACAAAGACATGCTTCCAAGCCCTGGCGCCTCCAAGGTTCCAGGGTCCCGAGGTGGGGGACGCAGAAGCGGAAGGCCACGTTACCCTGAAAGCAATCAGTTCGGCTGGTCTTCTCCTTCAGCTGGATGGCCGGTGAAGCGCCACAACACCAGAGCCTGCAACCCAGGCAGTCAGGCTGAGCACGAAGGCAACCCTGTTTATTCCCGCGCTGTCCAAGACACGTAGGAGCGTCTCGAAGGCACTCTGTACACATCCGCTGCGGAAGCTGCCCTTTCGCGCCCTTCCGGCCCCGCCTCCGACCCGCTTGCAATTCGCAAGGACTCCAGCCCTCCCACCGTGACCCACTTGGTGGGGGCCGACGCGGCGCTGCGCGCATGCGCTGAAACTGGCAGCCGCTGAGTAGTTCGGGAAATGTAGTCGCCGCGCAGGTGCTAGTTAGCCGCCTGAGTCCTTCATCCCGGCGGAATCCCGGGAAGTCAGAGTACTTAGGTCCTCATTCTCATCTTCACACCGCTACAGTCATCTCGCACGCGGGCTTCGTGTTTGCGCTGGGCTTCCGCCAGGACGCGCCCCGAGGAAGAGCTGGAGAAGCCCTCTTCCCTTTAGCGGGCTGCCCGGGGAGGCGGGATCCACCGTCCGCCCCCCGCCGTCAGCCTCCCCGCCTCCCTCCTCCCCTCCCCGCGGGTGTCGGTGCCCGAATCAAGGCAGCGGCCGCAGGCGGGGCGGCGGCGGCGGTGGGCGCCGCAGGCGATGCCCCTGCCCCGCTGCTCGGGCAGGGGGCAGTGCGCGCGGCGGCGGGGGCGGAGGCGGGGGGGCGGCGGCTGCAGCAGAGGGGCCGAGAACTGGCGGCGGCGGCGGTGGTCGTGAAGGGCATCGGCGGTGGCGATGACAGCAGAGATGATGTGAGTGTCCGTGGACTGGGAATCCCAGGACTGCCGAGCCCGAGGTGGGCTGCCCGGCGGCGTGCGGGAATCCGAGCGGGAGGCGGGGGGGACGGCGGAGGGATGCTGCGTGCGCGGTGCAGAGCCGGGACCCTCCGCCGCCGCCGCCGCCGCCGCCGCCGGTCCGGCAGAGGCCGGAGCCGTGCGAGCCCGGCCGGCGTGCGGGCTCCGGGCGGCGGCGGCAGCGGGGGCAGTGCAGGCCGAGGGGCGTCTGCGATTGTTCTCAACACCCCTCCCCCACCCCACCCCGTGTGTCTGTTTGTCACTTGCAGCTGAAGATGGAAAGAGCCAGGCGAAGGGGAGGCGGTGGCGGCGGCCGCGGCCGCGGAGGCAAGAATGTAGGGGGCCCTGGCCTAAGCAAGACTAGACTGTATCCCCAGGCCCAGCACCCCCACTACCCCCACTACGCCGTTTCAGCCACCCCTAATCAGGCTGGGGGCGCAGCCGAAATCCAGGAGCTGGCCTCCAAACGAGTGGACATCCAGAAAAAGAGGTTTTACCTAGACGTGAAGCAGAGCTCCCGGGGCCGCTTCCTAAAGATAGCTGAAGTCTGGATAGGGAGAGGCCGGCAGGACAATATCAGAAAGAGTAAACTGACCCTCTCCCTGTCTGTGGCAGCGGAGCTGAAGGACTGTCTAGGGGACTTCATTGAGCACTACGCCCACCTGGGCCTCAAAGGCCACAGGCAAGAGCATGGCCACAGCAAAGAGCAAGGCTCCAGAAGAAGGCAGAAGCACTCAGCACCCTCCCCACCAATCTCAGTGGGGTCAGAAGAGCATCCTCACAGTGTCCTCAAAACAGACTATATAGAGAGGGACAATAGGAAGTATTACCTAGACCTGAAGGAAAATCAGCGGGGCCGCTTTCTAAGGATTAGACAAACCATGATGCGGGGCACTGGCATGATAGGTTATTTTGGCCACAATTTGGGCCAGGAACAGACTATTGTCCTCCCAGCACAAGGAATGATTGAGTTTCGTGATGCCTTGGTTCAGCTGATTGAAGACTATGGCGAAGGGGATATAGAAGAACGAAGAGGTGGAGACGATGACCCACTTGAACTCCCAGAGGGGACCTCTTTCAGAGTGGACAATAAAAGGTTCTACTTTGATGTGGGCTCTAATAAATATGGAATTTTCCTGAAGGTAAGTGAGGTGAGGCCACCTTACCGTAATACTATTACTGTTCCATTCAAAGCTTGGACAAGGTTTGGGGAGAATTTTATCAAGTATGAAGAAGAGATGAGGAGAATTTGCAACAGCCATAAAGAAAAGAGAATGGATGGCAGAAGGGCCAGTGGTGAAGAACAAGAATGCCTCGACTAGAGTGAAATTGAACTCCATCAGGCAAAATTTAGAAATCATTAATTGGCTAAAAGTACTGATCCATAACCATTTGAAGAAGTTTTTCCTCTTTTTTGGGCCCTTTGCTGTTAGTAATACCTCTAGTAGTTTATACTTCAAGAAGTCTGATTCTTACCTTGTGTTACACACAGCTCATTATAATTCTCATGGGAATTCCACCCTTCCCAGAGCTTAATAGTTTAGCTGTTTCACCTGCTCCAGACTATTGAAGTATGCAAATCAGCACAAAATGTGACCTTCTGACATTCTAAATACCGTAACTAAGATTTACAAGGCACTATGACATAATCCTGAGAATAATCCTGAAAAAAGACACATGTACTTAATCTGGAAGTGTGAATTTCTGTTTAACAAATCCCCGAAACAAGTATTCCAGTCCTACTTCATTAAAAGCTGCTAAGCTTTCCTGTAGGACAGTTACCACAGAAACAGAAATTGACCTCAAGTATAGTATATTTATTTATAAAAGTACAAGTAGAAATATATTGTCCATTGAATACCTTAATATAAAATAGTAGCACTAAAATATCAAATCTTAATAGATAATTAAATCTTCTAAATGCAGTATCATAATATTTCTTAAGAATTACTGTAGTATTCTATAATTTCAAATTTTGTGGTAACCCTGCAGTGTATGGTTGCCATATCAAAGTCATGGGAAAGTTTTAATTGGTTTTTCTAAGCTACTTAGAATCCCATCTTCACCTTTGTTTATTATACCATATATTTTTATTGACTATCAGAAGTTTCAGGAATCGCCTTTACATCACTTTTGAGTGGGAGGCTTCATCCAATGGCTTTGCTATGGAAATCTTGATGTTTCAGCATTTCGTGGTGATTTAGAGATTGTGATAGGTTTTTCCTAAACTATATCATGGACTCAAGGTGTTATAGCTTATGCCTCTACTTTAACACAATTTCAGAGGGGTCAGTGTACCAATTAACTGATTTGAAAATATATTTATAACTAGATATTTTAGTAGCACTTTTGCAATTTCTGCCCTTAAAACCATGACAAACTTCCAATACAAACCTAACTTTTACAGATATTTTAATTCCAGAAAAAAAATTTTCCTAAAAATGTATTTAGAATACAAATTTTCATTCTGAAAAAATATTATTTAAAGATAAGATTGATTATAAGCATTTGAAAGTAACATTAGGCATTTTCCAAGGTGCTCCTATGATACTTAAAGCAGTTTACTTTTCACAAGACTCACCCAGTTACCTGCATTAAAAATTACTTTCCAGGAAATATTACATCAGTTTTTCAACACCTAAGCAATTTTTGAAACAAGTAGATATAGTGTATGTGTGTACCAACCCAGTCACCCTGTATTAACTGACTGAAATTTCATCTGTTGAACTACATTTTCTTCTGAATGAAATTGTCTTTTATCTTGGCTTCATTTACCTCCCTCGCTGTAAATCCATATATTCATGTTTAAGAGCCAGAACACTGATTTCATCCCCCCAAATATAGCTCTTATTGATGAGAGCTGGCTGCATGGATTGAGATCAGAATGTAGCTCTTCTCTGATACGCTATAAGTAATTCAAAATTATTTGAAAATTTTTTCTTCCAGAAGTTTGTCCCCAGATACATTTAAAGTATGGTCATGAAGAAAACTTTATGTAATGAATTAAGAAACTTAATGTCATTGGTTTATGTTACTTAAGAACAAGCTATCAGTAACACAGACATACATACTGGTATTGGTTTGCAGATGATATTTCACGTTTCCTCAAGTATGAAGGAATCTCAGTTCCTTATCATTGTGGACCATCTGGATCCCTGTGGAACAACCAACTGAAGGCTAGAAGATAATGTTAGTACTAGAGTTAATAGCACATGGTGGGTGTTGAGACTTTAAAAGTAGCAAGGATTTTTAAACAGTCCTAACTGTAAAATAACATAACTATGTAGGCTTGCTCAAAAGTAGTTTTTGGTATATGAAGGAGTGATGTGCACTTGAATTACTGTACTACTGATTGTTACTGCTGCCTATCATAGTGCCTATAAAGAATACTCAACCTGTCAAGATTTTGGCAAACTGGAGTTGTGAATATTCCAGTATTTGATTGTTCCTATTACTATTGCTATGAGTGTATGCTCTTTTAAAACCTTTTTTAAAATACTTATATCCACTAGCACTAAATAATTTTTTTTAGTTTTTAGTTTGAGTGTGTGTATATATACAATCTATCTATCTATATATACACACACGCAATACTTTGTCAGACTTAAAGATAAATATCTTTAATTCATTGTCTATAATTATTATTAGTTTAATTTTGCATTAATTATTTAAGTAAAGAATTAGTGCAGCAACCAAATTTTCTACCTTGTGTGTATACTTCAGAGTTTTTACCATCGCCAAGCTGCAGATGGCATATAGGCAATTGAATGAATATACTGTAGAATCATTAAGGCTTCTATGAGTCCTTTTGTTTTATCTTCTCAAAGTTAATGTATTCATTGAGAAATGGAATGATGCTATGATTTTTTGATACTTAAAATTCCCAAGAATTCATTAGCCATAATTAAATATCCAGTTCAAACCTCTGGTATTAGGACATATATTGCCATGTATCTTATAAAATAAGCTACTATTTTTATCTGTGCAATATACATCTTCTTTATTGTCATTTGTGACATAAATGGAGCTGCAAGTGTATGTGATATTCTTCAAAGTAACAGAATCCTTGCCTTGAAGACATTAAACTCTTAAGGCAACTGGATGTTGGAAGTAAAAAATGAGCATTGAAGTTAGTAACCAAAATTACTAGTTCATGTATAATGCTAAAACACCAATGGTGTTTGCACATAGTAATCCGAGCATAACGTGGTACAGACTCAAACTGTAATAATATAAGCTAATAGCATGAAATCTGGAAACGGGTTCTCTTAATAGTCGGCAGTGTGCTCCTAGCAATTGAAAGCAGCACTAATCTGTTGCTTATATGCAAAAGATGCAATGTATTATAAAAGTATTAATGTTCTGCCACATTTTATCATTTTTCTTGTTAAAGCCCCATACTGCCATGTCCCTTAAACTTGAGTCAAACACAAACTTATTTGCACTAAAGATCATGGCCAAAAAAAACAAATGACAGGGTGGAAAAGCTAGTTGGAACCTCTTGAAATAATTGGTTCTAATGAGAAAATTTCACATTTGTCTATTTGAAAGCTATATGGTCCAGGCAGACAATCTGTCAGTTCACTAATTTAATAATGCACTTTACCTTTTGTATATAGAATATGTACATTAATGCCACTTGACAGGTGAGATGTGTTTCCATAACTATGTAATTAGAATCTGTAGGGTGAACTCTTGCATGCAAATGTTTGTGTTGGAACTGTTACTGTAACAGGTTTCCATTAAACCAGTGTAATGGAGAGGGGTAGAAGATGCTTTTAAAACAAATCCCAATGCACTTAACAAAGAATTTTAAAATAGACTTCATATTTGTATTCTTAAAAACTAGAATATATATAAAACTATTTCTAATTCAGATTAGTATTACAACTGATAATGTATCTATTTGAGATTCCCCATAATACTCTGAAAGTTAATTTTGAGAATTTGTCTATATTAAAAAAATTTCATGATTCCATTTCATTGTTGATATCTGTTTAAGTAACTAATAAAAAGACAGTACGTGGTACTGCAGTAGAATTAAAAGTATGGTTAGCTGATATCTTAAAAATACCCAAACTAAAGAAATAGCTTCAAGTTGAGGAAATACAAAGAGCCTAATAGGTTGCAGAAATAAATATGATGTTTCAAAATTTGCAAAAGTACTAACCTTTACCAACTAAAAAGGGTATTGGGGGATTTAATGTATCCTTCCATCCTAGATATTTCCTAAGATGTACATTTGAAATCTAGATAATTGTTGCTTAATAACAGGTTGTATGTGCTTTACTGAGAAACACTGTGTACTAACGATTCATCAAGAGTGTGCTATATTTACTGCATTTTATATCTATAGATAAGAATACATTATATATAAGCATCCTATCTTGATATAATCATGTATTTATATTGTAATTTTGCAAATATTTTCAGTAAAATAAACATTTATCTGAGCTGCACAATTTAAGAGGATGAAATTGGAATATACCCTTAGATACTCATTTTTAATGAGCAGCTACTGTTGAAAATTGATGTACATATTGTCATTCCTTTAAATTTTGCTTTATAGTTTATTTTCATATTTAAATGAACAAGGCTTAATTTGAATTTTAATTGGTTGTCTGAAAATAAGTTTTTTACTGTGTGAGATACTTTTTTCCTTCATATTTCCAAATGACTTTCATTGAAACTATGAAATTCTCTTCCAAGCTTTATGTAAGTGTTTTCCTTAATCACCACTTAGTTTGAAATCTGTCTTTACCAGAACACCAAACATCTTTGGCAGGATGTTTTAACATACAGAAGTTAACACTGCTCTGTGGCTTCAGAATAATGCAGATGTACTGTTTACCACTGCCACATGAGATTTCTTGAATCTTTTCTGAAATTTCCTTCAAGATAACTTGACTTTCATAGAGAAATGGTGGCTAATGTCTAGCCCATAAGAAGAGAATAAGGATGTTAACATGGTGATGAGACAATCCATAGCCTACAATACTGTAGCAGTGAAGTAAGGGGGAAAATGTGTTTCCTAATTTAATGTCATATGAACATTGAGTTTTTACATCACAATAACTGTCATAAAGAAAACATACAAATTTAAGTAGGTAGATCTTAGAATAATAATGTGTTAGTATATTTTCTTGTAGAATAGAAAATCAATCTTTGTTCTTCATTTAACAAATTTTAAATCATTTAAATTTATTTTGGTGGGGTTTTAACATTTGTAAAGAGGGGAAAATATACAAAATTTAAATGATACACAAGAGTATACAGTGAAAAGTGGCAACCAATGTTATCAATTTCTTGTGTATCCTTCTAGACTTTCTCTACATATACAAACAGGTATAGATGTATTTTCTTTTAAAACATACAAATGAAAACATATACTCTGTTCCATACCTAATAGCAGCAACATTAGTCTAGCATTTTAGGGATATTTTTTCCTTTTATTTAAATAACATACTGCATCTACTTAACATCACTTACTTTATGCTATATTATTACAGCAAGGGAACATCACTGGTATTTACTGAATTACAAATATATGTATATATTAATTTTAAATGCGTGCAAATACTCAGTTTATCCTACTAGCTTCACTTCCATATTCCTAACCATCCTGCTTTTCTATATTCCGCCTATTTCTTCCCTAAAAAAAGAAAAAATACTGGTCTTTTTTTCCTGAAGTAAGATAGTTCAGGAGTAGCAGGATATTAAATACTTTAACCAAGTGTTTTTTAGAGTTAACTGTGCTCACTAATGAAAGACACTGATATTTAAAAGCTTTAACAAATTAAAACTTTTGATTTTTTTTACCAATTCTGATGCTATTATTTTTCATTCTAAGAGCAAATGAGTATGAAAACTATAGTGAAAGATTATGACTGTTGAAATCTTTTGATTGATCAACATGAAGCTTTTATCTTTATAATAAGAAGGGCATAAGATTTATTTGACAACTTCATCAAATCCAAGTCTACAGAAAGAGGTAACACTAGCCTAATTGCTTCAATGATTGATTTTTTTTTCTTTTTTTTTTTTTTTGGTGGTGGTACTAGGTTTGAACTCAGGGCCTCACACTTGCTAGGCAGACACTCTACCACTTAATCCATTTTGCCAGACCCAGCATTGGTTTTTTTGTTGAAGGATTCATAGTCTGTCAGAAGTCCTTGGGATTGCAATGACGTGGGGAAAGAGTAAAAATTGGGAGGCTAAGATATCACAAGGATAACTCAGCCACATCTTTTCATT